AGGATGCCGGGCCTCCAGGACCCACTTTGGACACCCCTGGTCTAAAACATTGAGTTTCAGCCAACAGCACATCCACAGTCTCAGTCCAGGGTCCAGTTTACTCCCATCCTGAGTCTCAGTCAGAACGTTGCAGCTGCAGTCCACTGAAGACCAGCGTTGCATAACTCCAGTCATACTGGGATCTGTTGTTGACTGCAGATTAGCAGAATAAACACTAGACTTCAGCCATTTACAGACATGGGATTCATTCACTTTATTAACCATCAGCTGGAGAAATGACAACATTCAGTGACTTTTCTTTAAATTTGTCTGTTTAACCAGCAGCTGAGGAGCAGAGATGCAGGCAGCATGTCTGCTAAGCTACATAACATTTAACCAGTTTCATCTCAACCGCATGTAAACACCATCACAGTTTGGAGCAACTTGTAAGCAAATAAATGTAGATTTTCTTATACAATTTGTACACATTTCAAATTGATTTATGGATATACATCTGAATATAAATATATTACAATTAACAGCCAATATGTCAGAGCTCAGCATCCTATGTCTGTTATCATGTCTAAAAGAAAGCAAAACCAGATAGAAACATTAACTCAGATAATAGATGTTTTACTCATTAAATCAAACTAAATTCTATCTACTTTATGTCTGTTAAATAACCTAATTATTTCTATTTGCTAAATGCCAAAATAATGAGAATTTTTAATACTTTTTGGTCTGGTAACATCAGCAGCAAAATCCTTGCGTTTGGTAAATGGTGAATATTTGAGAGATCATGGTGCAGATTATGAAGACATGCTGAGACCACTGAACATTTCAAGCGATCAAGTGCTGAGACATTTAACTAACATCAGGTTGCTCTGAATACAGCTAATGAAAACAAGACATTTGGATTAGAATATTACATTAGACACAAAATAAAAAATATGGGGTTAAGGAAATGTAGTGCTTAAATGTTTTCAAATGGTAGGTTTATTCTGAGAAACGAGCTTCATGGAATTGAATATATTCCAATCTATTGAATAAGACTGATGATGTAAGGCTGGTCCCACATGACTGACATGTTGCTTGTAGCTCAGAAAAGTTGTGCCTCATAGGCTGGAAGTTTATTTTGGCTACACACTGAAGAGATATAAAAGAATAAATCTGAACTATACTGTCCAAAGAAGAATTTATATTTTACACTAGGCAAAAGTTCTTAAAAAGAAAAATGTAGATTTTAACTCGTGTAGGAAAGTTGGAACAATGTGAGCACTCCACCTGCAGCAATACATTCTTCTTAACCTCTGGGAATTACCAAAAACCTACTAGACTTGATCAACAATAGAATCTGATTGTATTCAAAAGTTAGTTCTGACCAAAATGTCAGTTCTAAGATGTTTAATGAATTTTCAGGAATTGTATTCATGGATGGACTGGTCGCTGTGGAATTTGGATGTTGAAAGTTCAGGACAGTCTTGAGCCTGAGGCGTCAGGAGTTCAGAGAGGTGGCCCATTCAGCCCCCGCTGAGAGCTCATCAACAAGCACAAAAACGGTTCAAGAGACCAACACTGCATGCAGAGAGGATTTCTCAGGTTCCAAATCAAAGTCTCTCCACACCTCAAGGAGTAAAGTGAAGTAAGGGGGAAAGTAGCTGGCATCCAGAGCAGCCTGGAGGGTGAGCTGCCACCTGCTGGTGTGTTGTTGTTTTCACCAGCCTCCGTCTTACACCCCTCCGCTCCCCAGACCGCCACCCTCAGGATGATTGACAGGATTCGGCTGTGGAGCCAATTAGCAACACGCAATTACTCCACGCTAGATGTGACCCTGAAACTAATTTAACACTTTGGCAGTCATGAAGATGACAATGAGGAGAAATTGACCTGAACTGTGTCACTGAGATGAAGAGGAGGACTTCTGTTGGGAGCCACAGGAACTTCATCCTCATGACAGAGCGAGTCGGTGGAGCGTGTTCCACGAGATGTAGGAATATGTTCTATAAATGAAACTAAATGATCATTTCTCACATGAATTAGAGGATGCAGCTGATCCAGATATAAAGTCTTTGCCAAGTTAAAGGGAAGTTTTCTGACCCACATGGCTGGTTGTGCAGCACAGAGAGATTCCCTGCAAAGTGATCTAAAGGATTCTCCAAATATAAGGTTGCAAGTAAAAGATTATCACCCAAATGTCAGGCTACCAAAGAGCATCAGTAATGTTGTCTTTTTATTTCTGGGTCAATGAAGAACTCTTTACATTCTGCAATGAGGTAGGCTTTCAGACAGTAAAATATATTTTTTAGATTCGACTTTCTGTAACTAAACACATTGCAAGCTACAGCATAAATCATTAAAGAGGAGTATTTGTATATTTCAAGTACTATTCTGCTCAATCTGAGCCTTTGTTGAACTGACACTCAGTTCAACAAAACTTCAAGAGGGAATAAGTGATAGACAATGGCTGCCTTGACCAGTGGGGAATCTGTGATACATCACACTGGGAACATGATTATATTTTGCATTTGTTGATGTGTTTTCCCAAAGGAGTAACGATCAGAGAGTAATCCTTTTATTAGATGCCGTTTGTGGAAAAACAAAGCCGTCTCTGCAGGTTGTTGCTTCAACCTCTGGTAAAAAGGTCAGGTGTTGCAAAGCTGGGAAATATGCCAAGCTGCAAAATGAAACATTCCCTCAGAGAAATGAAAAAAAAAAAAAAAAGCTTGACAGCCTGTTGAAATCCATTGATCTCGGACTGAAAGTGATTATCAGCATCAGATGGAGTTTGGGGGCGGCACAGTGGTGCTGCTCTTAGCACAGTTCCCTTACAGCAGGAAGGTTATGGCTTCTAATGGCCAACTGAGTCTGTAGCCACGTGACAGAAATGGAACTCAAACTCTGTTAGCAATCCTGAAAATGGACAATGATGTAACAAGATTTAACTCAACTAAATCTTCTTCAGCTCATTAAATCTATTGTTTATTAAAGAGAGTCACTGAAAGAAAAGTGTAATCTTCTGAGATCAAAAAACTCAGAATTCTGAGGAAAAGTCAGAATTTTTTTAATAACGTCAGAATTTTTTTTCTTGTTTTTCAGTGTCCCTTTTCGTCTTCCATAGTTTATCAAATACTTCACATACATGTTTTTTCTATAAATCCGTTCTTTGATTTGTGAAGCATTCTGATTGGTAAATTTGTTTTGTTTTTATTCCACTGAGTGAATTTAGTAAAGGATCCTCATTGCAGCCAGAAAACCCATCTGTGACTGAGATACTGTCTGCAAAACCAGAATAGATGTCTTATACATCCACTCATATTAACAAGAGTAACCAATAGTGATAAGACAAATGCATCTTTTAACCTCGTTAAATCCAGTAACAGCCCAATATTTCTCAAAAGATAAAAGTAAATGTTTGAACCCTGTTTATGAAAACCAGTTACAACATTTTTCAAAATTAACTCAACTTGTCAGACTACTACATTAAAAAAAATCTCACCTGGATCTATATGAATCTAAATGCCATTTAGTGACAGCAGTCGTTTGACTTGTGTGTGGAGGGCAGGGTGGAGGAGGAAGCGTAGTTGTCAGGCACTTCATGGCGGCACAGTAATCACACCCGGCGTGTCACAGCACATTTGCAAACCTCCCATTACCTCATGACCGTAATGAAAAGGAATAAAAGCAAATGAGACGATGAATCAAAACAATTCCAGGGGGCAATTCTAAATGCAAATGGAGGCAAATTTAGCCTCGACTTAATGCCTGTGAGCAGATGCTGACTGACATGTCATGATTTCATCAATTACATGCGGCGCTTTGGCCCCATTTTCACTCTGCACAGGGTGTTAAAAATTTATCCACAAGCTGATCTTCCCTCTTTACACTTTCACCTTGGGAAGTTCACAAGCAAACTTGTCCATTGTAAAACACTTGTGTAAAGTGAAACACATTAAGAACCTAATTACTATCGATTGTCATGCCTGTCTGCATTCTCAGGGTAAATCTTTCCAACCCAGCAGTTTCTACATAATCCAACTGTAAGCTAAACCCTGGAGTCAGTTTTAGAGGTGAGCCAGATGCAGAACAACTAGTATAATTTTAAACTATTTGAGTGTGTTTAATCCCTTTGCTTCATTTGAGAATGATGCAGCATCGTTCTTTTTATGTAAAATCTCCAACGATCCAGTTTTTTCCACTTCCAGCTGGAAAAATATCGACTGTCTTTACAGCAGCTGAACGATTCATTTTTCTACCTGCGGAGGAAGACAACCTTATCATCTTCATTATGGATGGGCTGAAGACGTGCTGCGACATTCTGAGGCTAAGAGTGGCATCCATGTGACAGGCGATAAACAATCAGCGGAGCGGATACAAATGATCGAGACCATTAAATTGAGTCGTGGAAAGCAGGTTGCCTGTTTCAGCAAGAAAAAAAAAAGACAGAATGCCTCTTTGGCACAGAACTCATGTTGTTCTCATTTTTATTACATTGCACAGTATTAAAAGCACAAAAAGATCCCACATAGTTTGTGTACCGATCCAAGAATGAAAAAAAAAACAAGACACTGATAATATGAACTTAGATTTCTAACTAGAAAGTATGAGATGTGTTCAGTTGCAGTTTTAGTTCTCCTGGATCTGTTGGCCATGCTGTTCTACTTCAGAACAGGCAGTAGATCTAAGTGATCTATTTGATCACTTAGCACTGGTTTGTCTGTGTGAGGATTTGGTTTTTCTGTGTATCACTTTAGGTTTCTGTGTTCAGTCGAGTCTCCATGTTATCCCATCTACCCCTTGATTGTCCCCAGCTGTCCCTCGTTTCCCCTGGTTACTTTCTTTGAGTATTTAATCCCACCTGTGTCTGTGTTTCCTCGTCGGATCCTTGTTGTCCTTGTCTTTGCTGCCTTACGTTTTGTCATTTCACCAGTGCTACCAGTGTTTCAGTTCTTGTTTCAAAGCTCATCTGTGCTGCCTGGACTTTGTACTTGCTCATTAAATCATATGAGCAAGTACATAAGTTGCTGCCTCACTTCTCTGCTTCTGTGTCCGAACCTACAACAAATCATGACGGGCTGAACCTGTGGCCCGAGACACATTTGCAACTGATTTTCTACAGACCTTTTTTGGGGATTAATGTTTTGGTGATAACTTGACGTCTTTATAAAAATGGAAAATGTTACATGATGCGAAACCATGTAACATTTTCACTTTATAGTGAATGGAATCACAAAAATCCATCAACGTTTATGCAAAGACAGACCTGAGGCAACAAAAACCACATTTTATTGACTTATTTAATTTTGCAAGATGCAGAAAAATGTTCTTAAAACCTGAAAAAAGAAAAAAAAGCCTTTATTTTAAATAACCCCATCCCAGAGAACATTTTCAAAGTAAGAGGCGTTGAGTAGATTTTAGTACATATAACGAAAAAACAACGAAAAACAAAAACCATGGAGAGCACAGGGAGTCAAACAGAGCAAAAAACACAGGAACCAGGAACAAAAGCCAGCAGGGAGTCAGAGGGGAAGAAACTGGAGGAACCAGAGAGAAGAGGAGCAGAAGTACTGGGAGAGTTAAAACTGGAACAAAGAACCAGAACTGATTGACTAACAGGTTGCAGGTGTGAGTGGGGAGAGAGAAAGTGACACACAGGGCGAGGGAGAGAATACTGGGAACTAGGAACTGAGTAACATTAAAGAATAACTAGACAAATAAAACATAATTAAACTATAACAAAGAATAACTAGACACAAGAAATAAACTAGAATCACTCAGAAGAATTGAACTAAAGTAAAACACTAACAAAGCTGATCTAATCAAAGTAACAGACTAAGGAACACAGAATATAGCAAAACATCAATGAATCAAAACAACCCAAGACCTGCCTTTGTTTGAATAAGGCAAACTTTATAAAAAAAACAAACAAGAATTACTACCTTGTGCCTTCTTTGTTACATTTTTTAATGTTTACTCA